CCGAGATCGCGCCACTGCACTCCAGCCTGGGAAATAGTGCGAGACTTCATCTCAAAAAAAAAAAAAAAAAAATGGGGGACCTGGGCACAGTGGCTCATGCCTGTAATCCCGGCACTTCAGGAGGCCAAGGTGGGAGGATTGCTTGAGCCCAGGAGTTCGAGGCCAACCTGGGCAACATGGCGAAACCCCCTCTCTACAAAAAATACAAAAATTAGCTGGGCATGATGGTACACACGCAGCTACTTGTGAGGCTGTGGTGGGAGGATCACTTGAACCCCAGTGGTGGAGGTTGCAGTGAGCCGAGATCATACCACATCACTCCAGCCTGGGCAACAAAGTGAGACCCTGTCTCAGAAAAAATAAAAAAAAGACTGGGCGCACTGGCTCACGCTTGTAATCCCAGCATTCTGGAAGGCCGAAGCAGGTGGATAACTTGAGGCCAAGAGTTCGAGACCAGCCTGGGCAACACCGTGAAACCCTGTGTCTACTAAAAATACAAAAATCAGCTGGGCGTGGTGGCACACTCCTATAATCCCAGTTACTGGGGAGGCTGAGGCACGAAAATCACTTGAACCCAGGAGGCAGAGGTTGCAGTGAGCTGAGATCACACCACTGCAGTCCAGACCAGGTGACAGCAAGACTCTGTCTCAAAAACAAACAAAAAAACGAAAAGAAACCATCAGTCTACCAGTCTACACGCCTGGCACTTTGGCTGAGGGCCCAGTGAGCCAGGGGTGTTGTGCAAGGCACAGGGCACAGCCCAGGGGAAGTTTTCCTTCCCTCTAATACTCTTGCTCTCTCCTGCAGCCTGTACTGCGAGAAGCGGATCCTGGAGGCTGTGGGCCGCACAGGGCATCCCTTCCTGCTCTCCCTCCTTGCCTGCTTCCAGACCTCCAGCCATGCCTGCTTTGTGACTGAGTTTGTGCCTGGTGGCGACCTCATGATGCAGATCCACGAGGATGTCTTCCCAGAGCCCCAGGCCCGGTGGGTTCCATCCCTCCTGCCTGCCTCTTCCAGCAAACTTTACCTGGTTCCCTACACCCACTGTCTACATCCTGCTTTCCCCCAAGTGCCCAACAGCAGGGGAGCAGGAGTCAGAGTCTTTGGTTTATACCCTGGCACCAACTGACAGCATTTATGACTCTGGGCATCAGCTTATGAAGCTGTGCATTAGTTTTTTCTTTTTTTTTTTTT